TTTTTTTTTTTTTTTTTTGGCAACCTGTTATGATATCAAACACTTGACCAGATCCTGAGCTGACATCATAAAAGGCCTAGGCTTTCAGTGAAATAAAACTGGAAAGGTCCATCCATATGTCCTGTTTCCCAATTCTGACCTCTCCATTTCAACTGAATGAATATTACCCTGTCATACGTCCTCTTTCGCAATTCTGAAAGGTCCGTCCACTCCACGAGCTGAAATTTTTCCCCATCGACGGCTTTCACGTGCACTTGTTCCAGATCGTGCCGCCAAAAGGTCCCGAGGCTCATGTTTGCAAGCAAGATGTTGAACTGAAAGTTTGAGAGCCTCTGGTTCCAGGCCACCACCGACTTGCTCGTGAGCCTATGACCCCATACGTGCCTCGGTCGACAAACACGAAACAAATCATTCGTAAAGTCCGAGTACCAAGATTTCGTGCGACAATCAGAAGTTCTAATTTCCAAGTTCTCCACTACCACAGGCGGCTCGTCACTGAGAAGACGACTGCCGTCAACAGCACCACATCGCACGTCCAGACGAGAGCCGCTGTTCATCTGCAAAGTCAGATCAATCCGAGACCCACTCAGTGGCTTGAGGATTCGTCTCAGCATAAGGAACCATGAACTGGCGTTGAAATCGAGATCATCCTCACACAAACTGAGGATAACATTTGAATCCCACCCCTTGGAAGTAGTGGTCGGGACACAAATCGTAACTCCTTTAAGCAATATATTTCTTGTCGCGATGCTCAACCGCTTGACCGAATCACTTGCAAGATGGAATTCCTCGAAACCGAAGCAATTATGCAGGGCCAAGCCTATGAAGCACGGACACTCCTCCAGGACTGCCGTACCGGTGTCGGTGCAGTGTCGGACACGGACACGCCGGGGACACGCACGGACACGACAATTTTATATGGACACGGCGGGATACGGCGAAGACACTCCGGGATACGGCGAAGACACTCCGGGGACACGCCAACTCTTCATTGCCCTTAATTTTTTATTTTTTTTATTTTTTTGGGAATAACAATCTTATTTATTAGTTATTTAATAGACTTTTAAACTTCTCTGACTCAATTAATAATTACTTGAGATGCTTTTCTATTAACTTCACTTGCTGTTATGTTATCATTTATCTGCTTAGTACTTTGTTTTTTAACTTATGTTTACATTGGTTTTCAATATATTTATGAGACTTGGTATTATTTTAATGTTGAACTCTATTTTTATATGATTAATCTACTTCTATTTGAATAGAAAGTACAAATATTTACAATTAAAATAAAATTTTACATATAAAAAATAAAAAAAAAATATTTTTTATTGCCGTATCCCGCCGTACCCGTATCCTAGTTTTTTAGAAAATTGACGTATCCGTGTCCCGCCGTACCCGTATCGCCGTACCCGTGTCCGTGTCTGTGCTTCTTAGGGCCAAGCTCTCAAGAGTGGGGCAGCCGAACGATAACAGATCAATCGACTCACTCGACAGGATCACATCACAAAGATGCAAACTCGCGAGACGAGAAAACAAGAATGCGCTTCGGCAGTGAGACCAAATCCATGGTCCCCTGATGCGGACCGTCTCGAGATTCGGGACTTCGATTTTGATGCTACCCCCTTCCATCTCGATGCAATCACACAAATCAAAGTGCTTGAGCCCAGGCGCCTCGCTCAACCTAATGTTTCTCAACTCCCAACAATTATTAATGACCAGGCGCCTAAGCAAAGGGCATCCCAACGTTTTTGTCTCCAAAGTCCCGCCATCAACTTCGACCTGTTCGAGGGTGAGCATGCGTAGACTTTCGAACCGCACGCTTTCGACTGGGCTCAGCCTACATTTGCAAAGGTGTAGTTCTTCGAGGGACTCGGAAAAGAAGACTGCCGAGGGCAGGTCGTAATACAACGGGATACAAGAAATAAAGTTAAGTTTGAATGCTTTTATATTGAGGGCGGGAGATGACCGGTCGTGAGTCGATGTTCGATAAGTGGAGATGGAGTTTGTGTATGGAGAGGTTTTGATCACGGTATCCTTGTAGGGTTCGGTTGACTACCGAGACAAAGTTTTGTTGTGTAGTGTTGAACAATTTTTCGGAAGACTCGAGGTTTGTATCACGGCAACGTTGTACAGTTTGGTCGACGACGGCGACAAAAGTTTCGTTGTGTGTTGTTGAACCAATCTTGAACAAACTCGAGGTTGGAGCGGGTTGATCCTATGTGGCGCCATTGTTTGGAGAGTGCACAAGTTCTCACAGCTTCTCTCTGGGAGAGGGAACAGAGTATGCGGTGAAGTATAGGTATTGGCAAATTGGATATTCTATCGTAAGCCATGGCTGTGGACAGAGACTCCTCTGTTTTTGCCGCCTGCTTCTGCTTTTTCATAGGCGATAATGTGATGTGAGAACGATTTTTTGTGGTCTGCTGAATGAATGAGCCCTAGTGCACGTTATTGTTCATTAAAAAA